ACAAGTTCGTCGAGTAATGTAGGGTTTGACAAATGTAATTCACCACCATGTGCAGATTGCAAAAAGACACAGATGTTACATACATTTGTTGCAAATGGTATGATTTTCGACATTGCATTCTCTGAAATAGGTGCGATTTCCTTTACGTGGGCCAGTTGGCTACGGATCAACTGCTCCGGACGCCCAAATCTAAATTTTAACAACTCAATTATATTACCGACATTGTTCGGGTGGATCAGCAGTGACTTGACTGCTTCACGCGCGTAACCCTTCAGGCTCTTCAATAACCGTTGGTTATTTTCGTAGTTGCTGTACCTATAAATCGCGGTTGACTCGATGAAAGCCGTATAAAATATTGGCCAATCTTCCGGCTGTCCAGAAAAGTCTGGCAAATCCTGCAATTTCCTGGGCAAACTCGATGACTGAGCGGTAGTAGAACTTATATTGGCGAATGTAGGCATTGTCGTTGAATTAGACTGGATCGAAGGTGTATCCATTCCCAAATGAGTTGTACTGTACATGTGGTTTGTAGCAGCTGTACCTATTCCAAAGTTTGGCGGAGTGTAACGGGAATCGGTAGGCTGCGACAACGGTACTGTACAGTTCACTATAGCCGGCGAATGTTGTTCCGTTAATTGAACGGTTCCCAATTGTACTGTTGTTCTCGATGTTTGCGATAATGGAACCTCGGCGGCAATATTGTTGTTGGATGTATCCAAATTAGACGCTTCACCACGCGATTGGTGCTCCCTAATATCACACAAACTACTCTCTAACATGGCAATGCGTTTCTGTAGAGCGGCAATAAGATTTTCTTGACGTGCGAAGGCAGCTGATGATCCTCGAGTGATGGCCCCGGTGGCTGTAGGAGCGGCTGGTAAATCACTGGATACATTGGCGGCGGATGTATTACTACCCTGGCTGGGTTTTGATGATGATCTAGTGGTGGCTCCGGTGGCTGTAGGAGCGGCTGGTAAATCAGTGGCTATGTTGGCGGTGGCTGATGCATTGTTACCCTGGCTAGGTTTTGACGATGCCGTAGATGATATAGAGCACTCGCCATCCATGCTGCAGAACTGGTTGTAGTCTGACGGCGGGTGACTTACGCATCGAAAATTAATTTACAACCCAAACACGCAAACGTTTGGTCATGCGAAGAAAAGAATTTGTCACCGATGAGGTGGGGCGAATTTAACGCATATTTGGTTTATGGTTTACTTTAAATACTACAAGCATTTAAGTTATTCCACTTCAAAAGAATTATAATATATTTATCTTACCGCAGTGTGTCCTTCCAAATTTCTGGTCTATTGATCTACGACAAGCTCGAATATGATTTTGGCAGAACTTATATGCACAAATATTGTCATTTACCGTATGCAGATCAGCACAGGAGTAGGGAACTCCGCACACTGCACTTACAAACAACAAGCATGTAGATAACTTAACATATGAAGTTTATTACCTGTTTATGCGAAGGGAGAATGGCAACATATAACGTACAAACAAGGAAACAGAAACTGTATAGCGGGAAATGTATGTATGTAAATGGAATGCGAGACAATTCAAGAGCATATAAAGAAATTGAATTGAAACATACAACTGTAAATAAACATAGAAATTAAATATTTATTAGGGTGGGCCGTTGACTCACAACTACCAAATCGCTTATGTACCTATAAAGCACAAAATCTGTATTGATTTTAGTACACTTAAACGGGATTGATATTTGTCGAAGAATGTAAGTATCGTTCGAATTTTTGCACACATCTGCCCGTATATATGCACAGACTTGTTGACTTTATCATTTACGCACAAGCCACGAGATGAATAGGTTGATTTGTGCACTCTAGCCCATATGCGATGTATGTTGTAAGAGTGTGTATACTAATCTCGATTTTCTACAACAACAACAATGTTGTGACGCATTGTCGTCCTGTCAGTCCTGACAGATTGACCTTTGACATAAAAGCAAAACGTCAACGGAGATTTCATGAAGTAATGAGGTACATATCTACATACAAATTGAATTATTAAACTTCAATTTTATATAAGCTAAACATATGTAAATGAATACATATCATTTGATTTTGCGCATATCGACACTTGACAATTTCACCTATGCAGAACAAAGAAAGTTAGACACGTTCACTATATTACATAGAACATGCAAGAAGAAAATTGTTCAAGTTCTCTGGTATGTATGATAGTGATAAATGTATTTTGATTTTGGCGCAATTATTGACACTTGCTTTAATGAAATGTAAATGGGCCAAACGAAAAGAAGTACATATTTAGTACATAATTACTTTTACACATGCATTTGAAAAGAAAATCAGCATGAATGTGAAATGCCGATTGCAAAACACACTTGTACTTTGTACCTCATAGCAATCAAGTACATGAATTATTTTAAGAAATATATCAAAATATGTTTAAATTATTATTAATAATTCACAATAAAGTAAAAATGAATTAGCATAAAATAATTTAAAAATAATAATAAATAATAGTTCAATAAAATGGAATATATTTCAAATTTCAAATGGCATATCAATATTCCCAGTTTTACATATATACATATTATATTCTCTTCAATATTCGTCGGTTGGTTATGTTAAGAGCGTATGTGTACAGATTCACCGCTGTTATAAAGGCGAGAAATGTTATTTGTTTCTCCTGCGTGTGAGGTGAACTCCTTGATAAAATTTTACAAATGTTCGCTGTCGAACCTGCACCTTCTCGTTCTTCTAAGTTCTCTGCTCAAACTATTTCAGCTTACGTCCAAAAAGTTTCGATTTCGGACTATAACTTTTCCAGGACGCAGGCACCAAATATGTGGATCTCAGTGCATCTGGCTAAATTTTTACCGAACATATGCGTCAATCTGTGAGGTCTTGTATTGAAATTCGGGGAGAATATTTTTGTTATGACAGCATGCCATTGTGATAAAAATGGATAAAAATAGGAAAATACTTCACTCATCGCCCATATACTTATTATAAATAAATTTCGAGCTTCCGGTTGACTTTATAGCTATCTATCGGCCAATGGTGTAAAAAATTTTAATGGAATTCAGAGGCAGTCTCTCTCTAATAACAGTGTATCCTCTCTCCTAAAATGTATGAAATCAAGGCAATACTTTCCAAGATCGCCATATATCTAATATACGGATTCTCAAACATCATCTTACTTTTATATCTTACATATTGGTCAATTTGTGAGGTTTTTTGATGAAATTCAGGAAGCACCTATTTCTGCTAATTATATGCCGTAATACCAGAACTGGATAAAATCGGGTCAAAATATTGCTTAGCTCACTCATACCTTATATAAGAAAATTAATAAGAATTATATAAGAATTTCAAACTTCCTTTTTTTTACCATACATATCGTACAATATGTGAGATCTGAGCATAATTAACTGAAATGATGTTATCGGAGAAACCATATTTTAGTGCCTAAAATGTGCGATATCAATCCGCGAATTACCCCAACTCCTTTTAACTACATATAATAATTTTCTTTCGTTCAGAATGAAATTGAGATCTACTCTTTCTGTGTTGAGGTTTTCTCGTATACCACCTACATATGCATATGAAATTCAGCTTTAATTGAGTTTATAACGTCATTTTAGGTAATTATGTTGATCTTATAATGATATTGCGGAAAAGTAAAATGATGTAGTGAAACTAAGTGAGTCTAAGTAAGTCGTGATATATGGTATATAAATATATAAGCTACTAAATTTGGTTGTAATGCATTCAGTTTCTTTGAATAATACACGCTGAGTTGTTCTACAACATTTTTATACTAATATAGCATGTTACTGCAAAGTATAATAGCTTTGTTCAGCTAACGATTGTTTGTATCACCTTAAACTAATCGAAATAGATATGGAGTCATCTATGTGGCAACATCATACTCTACCGACAGGCAATAACTATGTTGTACCAGAGAACTTAAAACAATGAGAAGGTGCAATTTGAATTTTGTATGATGCTCGATTGGTTGGCTGAAAATTTGAGATCAAGGAGTTCACCACTTTCTGTATAGTTTTGCTGTTATTTAACAGAAATGAGAATTTTTAACAACGTTCTCTGACAAAATACGTATCTCCCAACATAAAGAGAAAAATGAAATGAAATGAATGAGAAAACAAGAAATACAAATGCCACTTCACA